AAATTTTTTTTGGGGCCGCCCAAAAAAAGTTGAAAATTTTTCTGGGCTCTTTGCTACATGGGGAAACCCCCCCCACAAAGTTTCGTCGAAATCGGAGACATCGATTTCGGGACCTCGGGTGACTTGGGAAAGAATTACCCAGACGCGGCCAGGTGCGCACCGCGCCGCCTCGCTCGCGGCTTCGCGGCCAGGAGCGCACCGCGCCGCCGCGCCGCCTCGCTCGCGGCTTCGCCGCGGCCAGGGAGCGCGCCGCCGCGGCCGCGCGTGCGCGCAGCGCCAGGGGCGGGCTCAGGGAGGGGGCCACCCGCGATTCCGTCCCACAACGGCCTTAGGTTAGACCCGCTTAGGTTCACTTAGGTTACACCCGCTTAAGACAGCCCCGCTTAGGTTGAGTTAGGTTACACCCGCGATTCTAGACTACCCGCGATAGTGGACTATTCAGGCCTTACCCGCGATTTGGGACTATCTATACTACTAATGTTTCACCATTTCGTGGCGAGACATCTCTGGGTTCGACCCAGCGTAATGTAACGCGACGAAAATCACCTATACTTAAATGCAACGTTGACGAGAGGCTTTTGTGTGCGGAGAATCAAAGCATAAAATAATAACAGACTTTCGCGGTTTTTTTTATTTCTTTTGGTGGTATGGGGGGGATGAGGTGTAGGAAAAAGGGAATGCAAATCAAGAATTTTCGAATCAAATCTGAATTGAATCTGCAATTGAATTTTAGTTGAATCAGGAAAAGTTGCCGTATCGACACTGAAAAACCAAACGTGGTCTACACCACACCAGTGGTGTGGTCTAGACCACGTTTGGTTTTTCAGTGGAATTCGAATCGAAGTGCACGATCGGATGCTGATTGGAAATTTCCTGCCATTCGTGGTCTTTTACCTTAGCTGTCCGCCTTTGCTCGAAGACAAACCACCAAAGATTCGAGATTTCGAATGATTTGGGATTGAACTCTGTAAATCTTACTGTGGTGAATCGAATCTTCCCTGATTCGATTCAACTCCACGGGAAAACTTAAGATTCACAGCCAGAAGAAGAACGTCAGATCATTTGTTTTTGTTGAAAGGCCGAAACATTGCATGCTGTCTCCAATCTGTAAAGTCTGGTAGGAACCGTCATTTCGGTCTCTTTTTTTTCGGGGGGAGAGAAGTTAACATGCCTTTTGCCCAAGCTCCGGGTATAACTTTGTCGCGCACTTATAGTCAGAGGGTCTACCGTGGGGTTCTAATGTGATTATGCCATCAAGGCCGACTTCAGGCCGAAAATGCAATGTAATTAAGGTTATTGTAAGGTGAAAAGAGTGGCTATATGACATTTTGAAAATACTTTTGTCACATGTCTTAATTAAGGGCTAAAAGTTCCTTTCTATTTCATAAACTCATACCCTAAGACTAGGGCTCCAACTCCTTTTAGTTTCTGTGATATGGAGGTTTACGTAAACTTTTAGTTGTTTCTCCCACACCCACAAAAATTAGTTCTCGGCGCGAGAGCATTTTACTCGGTACGAGAGCATTTTGCTCTCAGCGACAACGAGTGTATTTTGTACCTCGATACGAGAGCAAAATGCTCTCAAAAGTGGCCTTGGCATTCGATCTCACGATGTTCTCCGTAAACCCATAGTTCTCAGTGAATGTTCTCGACCTGAGATCATCTAACTTCATCCGAGTCCCTCATGCACTTGAAACCTCGCTTGAAAGGCGCATTTTCTGTTCTCGAGTCGTTCTGTGCTTGAATGTTTTGTCGCCTAACCTACCCTTCATGTCGAGAAAATGTTCTCGTTTTGGTTGAGAACAACTGCACTGTCAGAAAAAACCACGGAAAAGACAACGGAAAATGTCAGGTCATCTAATTACCCGGAAGGTCTGTACTTTTCCGTACCAGTGTACGGTGAAGGTACAGAAATTCTGTACCCACCTCTGTACACCATACGGAAACAGTATTGACTGTCTGTGTACGGAAAGTTTCCGTGATTTCCCTGAGATCCTACGTAGGGTCTGGAGAGCGGACATTCTTTGTACTGGACTCCGTACTGGGATGCGATACAGGACGGAAAATGTCCATGCATTGAGAGACTAATCGTATAGACCCAATTGCCCGACAAAAATACATGCATTAAAATATGATTTGAAATGTACTGCTCATGCAAGACATGCAAGTTAATATTTAGAGTATTCCTACTTCACCTATTTGCAGTGTCCCCAGCCTGACCTATTCCACCGCAGTACCTCTGTCAAAATGTGGGAATGTTCCAATGCCGTTGACATGATGGATGTGTTGGGATGGGAGCGAAACTTCTGCTGCCATGGGAAATCTTCCAAAGCACTAAAGAAAACCATTATCAATCAGAATTTCAGGAGCTTATCAGCTTATATTTGCACCATGAATTGATTTGAATGCTTTTGTTTTCTTTGTTGCATGTTTGACACTGGTTGCTTGTGTATCTCTTGCACTGCCTGCCTGCCTGCTTGTCTGCCAGCCTGCCAGCCTGCCAGCTTCCCTGTCTTCCAGATGGTCTTCAAAGAAAGTCTCTTCAGTTTGTTCCAGTTTACTTGTACCTAAAAAATAAATAATAAATATTAGATATTTTACTCTTCTTTCCCTTGGTGCATACAATGTTTTTACTATAATTACCATTTTCCAGAAAGGCTTGGTTGGAAACAACAATGAACACTCGGCTGCAGTAAAAGTGTCTAAGAACAGAACAGTCCCGGCTCCAGTTAATTCCAATAGTCTGGGGGCAAAAGTAGAAGGTACTTTAGAGTGCTCTTAAAATATTTCAAGCCCAAGGTCGCTGGTTTTAAACTTACCTCCAAGAGGCCACAGTTTAAACTTATCAATATTTAACTCTTAATCGCCTCACTGAATTTATTTATTTATTTGGGGTTCAGCTTAACTTCATTAATTCAAAAACTTTGCAGCCACTGCCATCAATAGCTTAATGCTTGCTTGCATCTTGTTAATATCTGCACAACAACCTTTCTGCAAAAACACCAAAGGAAATTCATTAAATTCTGAAAACATTAAAAAAATAAAATAGAAAGCTTTGTTGTAGCACCAAATTTGACTAGTTAAGTATGTAGAATGAGATAATGAAGAAAACGTACCTGGATAGCTCTTCATATGATGGCTCAATGCTTTGACTTGGTATTTTTGTTTGGTTTGTTTCATGGAAGGCTCTCTATTTCTCTTGCCTCTCAGTGTGCGTGTGAGACTAGGATGCCTGTGCCTGTATTCCTGCAGGACTCCTTAGCTAGTTCTCTTTTCTCTCTCTCCCATTTCACATAATGGCCTTAAGCTACACTCAAATCAAAGAACTGTAAAAAAAAAATAATTAAAAAAAATAGTAAAGGAAAGAGTGACTCTAAGACCCATAGAATAATGTCAACTTACCAATACAGTTTTTCTGCCAGAATACAGCACCCACACAATCCATATCAATAACATGAAAGGAGTGCATCATCATAAGGACCACTTTAATTACACTTTGAACATGACACCTAAAGAGAAAGCCAATAAAGTCGAAAGACAAAACCAACAAATCATTTCTATTCAAAATTAACTTAACATGAAAGCTGCCATAATCCAATGCAGCTTCTGATACAGGTCATGATGCATGTTTATGCAAGCCCACTCTCCAATAGCTAAAGCAACAACCAGTAGAGCAGAGGAGTTATTTGTCAGGATAGCCACTTGGCTGCCTAATAGAAAACTGGTTAAATCCTGCATTGAACCACAATGCCACAATTTAATATCTTGTACTTAATAGTGGCCACCATAAGTACAACATAAAGATGACTCCAAGGAAATGCATTAAAATGGACTATCAAAGGTACAACATAAAAATGCCTGGAAGATAAAAGTAAAACAAAATTAGGCCACAGTCAAGTTATTTTCAAAATTTTTACCAAAGTCATGTTAGCTTACCAAAGAAATTGACGAATCGGTCCAACCCTCAACAGCCAAAGTGACACCCAGTAGAGCAGAGATGATGCCAGGAAAGGCACCCGACAGCCTTTCAGAAAGCCGTCTAACTACTTGTGGAACCACAACAGAACTTGCCACCTAAAGAGAGCAAAACCAGATTAGAGTAGAAAAAAAATAAAACCTACAAATCATTTCTATTCCAACTTAACTTACATAGACAGCTAATGTTATCCAACGCAGCTTCCAATGCAGATCATGATGATGCATGTCAATATTTAAATTCTTGTATGAAAAATGCAGAATATTGGCGATTGAAAGTACAAAATTAATTATATGCCTGGAAGATTAAAGTATAACAAAATTAGGCCACAGTCAAGTTATTTTCAAAATTTTTACCAAGGTCATGTTAGCTTACCAAAGAAATTGACGAATCGGTCCAACCCTCAACAGCCAAAGTGACACCCAGTAGAGCAAAGGTGTTGCCACGAAAGGCACCCAACAGCCTTTCAGAAAGCCGTCTAACTACTTGTGGAACCACAACAGAACTTGCCACCTAAAGAGAGCAAAACCAGATTAGAGTAGAAAAAAAAATAAAACCTACAAATCATTTCTATTCCAACTTAACTTACAATGACAGCTAATGTTATCCAATGCAGATCATGATGATGCATGTCAATAATGAAATTCTTGTAAGAAAAATGCAGAATATTGGCCATCGAAAGTACAAAATTAATTTTATGCCTGGAAGATCAAAGTAAAACAAAATTAGGCCACAGTCAAGTTACTGTCAAAATTATTACAAAGGTAACGTGAGCTTACCGAAGATATTGACTAATCGGTCCAACCTCAAACAACTTAAGTGACACCCATTAGAGCAGAGGTGTTGCCAGGACAGGCACCAGACAGACGAATTTACTGTAGCAAATTATTGCTTAATCAGAAATGCAATAGTGTGGTTTCTTGAACTAAAAATGCAGAATACTGGCCTTTACAAGAAAAGGAGAAAAAAACAGGAAAAGAGTCTAAATTGTGCTAGAGTTGAGTTACTGTCAAAATTATCAGAATAGTTACCTATAGAGTAGCTTACCTGAGTTGTTGCCTGGGAAGTCCACCTTCCAGCAGAGCATTGGTGTAGTCAGGTCGCTGGTCGTCACTTGGCAGTCTTCTCCTTAGCTGATTTAATTACTCGGTAACCCACAGAGCATCATAGAAGATAGCTTGCTTAATTGTTGTACCAAAGAATAACCCGGACACCTAAACAAAGCAAACCAGATAAATGTTAATTTTAATGTGTTTCAAATTACTGGCTGAGTGAGAAGGAAACAATACAAGCTAGGTCATCAGTTTATTTACCTCACCTGAACGTACTAGAAGGGCACTAATTCAAAATATTAATACATTTCTAATGAGAAAACTCATTTTCTTCCTCGCATTGACCAGATTGGTAGATATGCCTTGCCTCTCACTGTATCGCCCACTTGAAATTAGAAACATCTTGGCTGGTTTGATCCAGAATAGAGCAAGCAGGAAAGACAACTAGCATACAAAAAGAACCAAAGCAAAGACTTCTCCACAACTCAGTCAATTCTTTAAAACGTGCTCATGCTGCCATCAAAACTTTCAAGTAAAGGTGGTGAGTATTGCTTTGGAATGAAAACTCTTCTTCTCCTATCATGAAATCCAAGGAAAAGAAAGGGACTGAAATATAAAATCAAAGTAAACAATACAAGCCAGGTCAACAGTTGGTTTGTCTTACCTCAAGCTCCCAGAGGCATGGTATGCCAAGTTTGTCATCATTATTTCATCTTGGCTTCAAAATCTTAACCTTTTTGGAATTAGAAACAAATTTGACTATAGCAACCTGAAGGAAAAAACTAAAAGTGAAAATTTATCAAATGCACATGGAAAGAATAAAGTCAGTATTAGTTAATAAATAAACACAGATAATTCATCATAATACTTACGAATGGGTGATGTCAGACACCAGGTCGCTTCTCAAAATAAGACATATCAGTGTTTCATCTTCGCATGATTAAAGAGGAAACAAAACTTAACTTCAGATGTAATGATTGAATGGAGTGCAGCGTAATCTGAAAAAATACAAGGTTTGTGTTAGATAAAATTAAATGAATACTCAGAATGAATAGAATTGATAGGATTGTAACTCACCACAGTGAAATTTCTAAAATAAAAATAAAACTTTGAGTCTCACATAGCTTGTGAGCAGGTGATGTCATAGTCATTTAGTTACTTCTAATAATTAAAATGAACACACCTTATCTCTGGTGCATTTTTACTGAGTTGAAGAGGAACAATAAAATAACTTGATGCAGCAATTTCTTTTGACACAGCTTGATCTGAAAATATTGAACATGTGTTACAGGCGGACAAAGTTTATGTGGTGATTTTACTGATTCTTTGAAACTTACCATGAACTGATGTCAGCGCATAAAGTTTGAGAACTTGGTACTCCATGGTGATAATGGTGTGGTTTAGAGAAAGATAATCATATCTGCCAACACCATAGGCTGGTAAAGCATAACAATCTGGCAGCTCTGAAATCGTAGTTAGTTTTAATCCGATGCTGCTCTTGTTGATAATGTAGTAGCCATTAAAACTGTTCTTTGCAAACTTTTCTTGAATCAAACGCAACTTGACTTGACATGTAATGATTGAATGGAGCGCAGCGTAATCTGAAAAAATACAAGGTTTGTGTTAGAGAAAATTAAATGAATACTCAGAATGAACAGAATTGATAGCATTTTAACTCACCACAGTGAAATTTCTAAAATAAAAATAAAACTTTGAGTCTCACATAGCTTGTGAGCAGGTGATGTCATAGTCATTTAGTTGCTTCTAATAATTAAAATGAACACACCTTATCTCTGGTGCATTTTTAATGAGTTGAACAGGAACAATAAAATAACTTGATGCAGCAATTTCTTTTGACACAGCTTGATCTGAAAATATTGAACATGTGTTACAGGCGGACAAAGTTTATGTGGTGATTTTACTGATTCTTTGAAACTTACCATGAACTGATGTCAGCGCATAAAGTTTGAGAACTTGGTACTCCATGGTGATAATGGTGTGGTTTAGAGAAAGATAATCATATCTGCCAACACCATAGGCTGGTAAAGCATAACAATCTGGCAGCTCTGAAATCGTAGTTAGTTTTAATCCGATGCTGCTCTTGTTGATAATGTAGTAGCCATTAAAACTGTTCTTTGCAAACTTTTCTTGAATCAAACGCAACTTGACTTGACATGTAATGATTGAATGGAGCGCAGCGTAATCTGAAAAAATACAAGGTTTGTGTTAGAGAAAATTAAATGAATACTCAGAATGAACAGAATTGATAGCATTTTAACTCACCACAGTGAAATTTCTAAAATAAAAATAAAACTTTGAGTCTCACATAGCTTGTGAGCAGGTGATGTCATAGTCATTTAGTTGCTTCTAATAATTAAAATGAACACACCTTATCTCTGGTGCATTTTTAATGAGTTGAACAGGAACAATAACATAACTTGATGCAGCAATTTCTTTTGACACAGCTTGATCTGAAAATATTGAACATGTGTTACAGGCGGACAAAGTTTATGTGGTGATTTTACTGATTCTTTGAAACTTACCATGAACTGATGTCAGCGCATAAAGTTTGAGAACTTGTTACTCCATGGTGATAGTGGTGTGTTTTAGAGAAAGATACTCATATCCTCCCACACCATAGGCTGGTAAAGCATAATAATCTGGCAGCTCTGAAATTGTAGTTAGTTTTAATCCGATGCTGCTCTTGTTGATAATATAGTAGCCATTGAAACTGTTCTCTGCAATCTTTTCTTGAATCAAAAACTGAACTGTGCCTGAACATCTTTGTAAAAATATCCTTTCAATACAGCCCACTCTAAGGTTAGTGCCCTCAGCTTCAAGAACAAAATAAAATCCTTTGTTGTAATCAATTCCATGAATGGAAGCTGATCTTAATTCTTCAGTATTAGCCCAATCAAAGTCTTGAGGAAATACTTCCTTTTCCCTGTTAGTAAGCAAGTCTGGATTCACACCAACAGAAAAATTAGTATTGTATACCAGATCAAGTGGCAGCAGGTCTGATGAGCCATGGTCATATGCAAATCTGTATGTGTACTTATTTGCCATAGTATGAGTTATGTTGATGTAATTTTTGCAAGCTCTCACAACATTCTTGAAAAAAGAATGTTTGCTTTCAAACCTTAGAGTAAATAATCTTATAAGGGGTCCAAACATCAAAATTAAATCGGGATAGTGGCATAAATAATGGCTCTTTGGAGTAAGACATGAGGGCAATAGTTCCTTCACTTTTGATAAGAAAGATTCAATGATAAATTGGAGATAAGCCACTTGGGTTAAAGTTATCCGTGGAGCACTGACATACTCACAGATTTGCTTCAGTTGAAGGAAGAGTTGCCACATTGGATCACTTGGGTCCTGTATGAGATCAGATATTATGATTGGAAGCAATCGTAGCATATTCCAGTTTTGGCAAGCATTCCCACTTAACTTTGTATAACATTTTAATTTTGCAGGTTTATCTCTTGCATCTAATCCTTTACACTGAAATTTATCAATGCGACTATTGAGACAAGGCAAGTCAAACCACCCTTTGGTCTCGATCAAATACTTTAAAATTTTAGCAACAATAACTCTCACGATCCCTTCATGAAGGTCGTGGGCAATGCAGGGTGGCTGGGCCCCAACAACATGGAAATTTATGTCTGCAGAGTTCAAAGCAGAGGGCCTGTACTTAACACCTTTGTAGCTTACACTGCACATTCGTTTGAAGGCAGTCTTGTTCATCAATCCCTTCAGGTTTCGCTTGGAAATGGCTGAGGATCGATTGGCAATTCTATGGAGTCTTAGCTTAGCGCTTTCCTTAGCTTTCTTTTGAGCTTTTAGGCCATCCTTGCGTAGTTTCCTCCACTTCCGTTTTGCAATGATTGAATAGCTGTCATATTCTTGCACAGTCCTCAATGGTTTGGTTTCATATGGTTTTGACTTAAAGTCTGTTTTTGACATGGGGCAAAATCGACATGAAAATTCTGCAGAAGAAAAGTTTTTAACGTAACCACCAATAGTATTTTGCCCAAGTGAATCACCAAGAAGAAACAAAAGGCAAACAGGTACTTTTTTGCCATCGATGTCAATTCCGTTGAGTTTGAGGTCCTTGAGTTCATCAAGTAAAGGTTTCAGAGCCTCCTTTGTTTTATCAAAATCTTTTATCTCTTCCTCTTGAGTTGGTTTGAAGTCATTTTCCAAAATCATATAAACCAAGTGTATGAGATCAACTTTAGACCTGTAGACTGCAGGAATATTACCAAGTGAAAAATAAAATCCAACAGGTTTGTAAACACCTGTAGACGGACCAAAGGCGTTGAAGTCAAAGGCGTCTTGGAACAGAAATAGCTGCAAACAGGGACCCTCATGCAGTTTACGGTGGTCCTGGTAAGCAGAGCCATCCATATAATCACTTAAGATGTGAGAATTTTCAGACTTGTAGTCAAATGATTTAAGCACAGCTGCTTTAACTTTTGGATCCTTCAATAGCATATTCAAAGATTGACGAATAGACACATAATGAGCCTTGCGGCTCTTATCTGTACTAGATGGAAAGAGGTTAATTTCTTGTGGTTCAACAAAGGGAAAGTTGTTTTTCCAGAACTTCAACCGTGAGTAGTGAGTGCCAAGCTGTTCCGCATCTTCGTGTTTGTGATGAACATTAAAAACTGTGTCTTCTTTAAAAGCTTGTCTCACTACTGAGCGTATCACATCCTCTTCCAAGTTAGTTTTCTGAAGTTCCTTATATAAGCCTTTTTTAAGCCGATAATGGCTTAGCTCAGAGAGTACTTTAATTTCCTGAGCTACAGACTGCACTGTAGAAGAAGCTAAAATGAACACTGATTCCATCCTGAGATAAAATCTGGCCAGTTCTTCTTTGATAAGAGCGTCAGGATAAAGATCAATATCTTCTTCAGCATTACATGAATAAGGACCTTCATCAGGTAGAATGTTATTCTCTTCATCATTTTCATACTTATCATCACCATCACCAGTTTCGTCATCATGATCATTGGCATCATCCGCAACATCTACATCTACAATATCACGAGCATAATGATACCTAGAAAGGTGAGTTCTGAACTGCTTGGTATAGGATGACACAGTTGTACAGCCTTCGAATATACATTGAAATGTTTGACCCTTCTTCAGATGTTCGTGTACCATATGCTTTGAATAAAATTCTCTCGATGTGATCCGGGTTGTACAGGTGGCCACAGGGCATGAAAGGCTTGTCACAACAGGTACACTCTTTGGAACAACTCTGGCTACATGTGATTTGCTCCAATGCGTTCGATAGGACTGTACATTCGCTAGACGCACTGAACAGTTGGGAAAGCCACAGAGAATGGTGAAGTTCTTGCTTGACTGATGAATCTTGGCATGCTCACAAAATTGTTGAATGTTTGAAAAAGTGCTGTGACAGTATTTGCATACTTGATCTGGCCCTGGATTCGGCTCCACGCCGGCAATAAGTAGTAGCAGCACAATAACTCCAACTGGAAAAAGCTTTAGTCCAAAGCCAGTGTAGCGGTAACCTCCATTAGAAGATAGTGCAGACTTGGAGCCTCCACGGGGATGAAAGCGACCGATTCGCTGACGATAGGTCTCAATTGAGATACCCATTTTACTGGAATAAAGAGGAAAATGCACAAATAAAGCTCAACATGTTGTAGCTTCCAATAGAGACGAGGTTATGGGATGTACTACTTGCAATGAGGAAAGAAGGTAGGCCGTTTCCCTCGAAAATCTGCACTCGCGACAAGACTAACCACAAAACCTAAGTAAAAATTAGAAAAATATAGAACGTAGTAAACTACAACTAGAAGGATATTTCATTGAATAACTTTGAAATTGCCTCACCGGCAGCACTTCAACGCCGACCCACGATGCAAACACGAACTCTGGGTACGCTGCGACCGTCCGTGAAAAGAGGTTGGTAGCCTTGGTGAATACCTGGGGCGGACGACGTACGACGGAGCGAAAGGACAGAGGGAATACCCAAACTGGTTCTGAAACAGAAAAATAAATAATATTTGACGTTAAGGTCACAGTAAACACAGAAAGTACAGTCATTTTTTTCAATGCAATCACATTTTCACAAATTTCAGGACATTGTAAAAAGAATTGTATGATTATGGAGACGAGCAAATCCGTGCAGTTGGTACACCTTGATCACCGAATCCAACGGAAAGGCCAAAGTAGCCCAGCAAATTCAAAATTCACTGATTGCAGAATTGTAATTCGTCATTCATTAGATTCATTCAACTTTGACAGCAAAATGAGTGTAAGTGTGGCATGCTATTAGTTTTAAGTCTATGTAGGAGCAGCTTCTAAAAGTTATCTATTGTTTTCTAGTTAGCTACCAAGATTTTCAATCTTATAAAAGGCATCTTGACCACCGAAGATGATGTTCACACCATAGTGAAGCATCTAATTTCAGATGAAATAGGAGTGACAAAGCTCTCAGAATTGGCTGAAGTGACACCTGATGTTCTGCCACAGACAGTTAAACTGTCCTGGATTAAAAGAAAGCAGCTATTAGAAGCATTTGCTAAATGTGCCTCAGGTCAGCTTTTAAGTATTGAATCAGGTTAAGTAGTCCATGGCATAACATTAAATTGTTCACGTGTCATGCACATTTAAGAATAACAATCAATCACAACTTTGTTTGGAACAGGAGAATCATTTGGTTCCGCAGAATCGTTAGATGCACAATCTACATCCTCGGCTGGTGCTTCAAACAATCCAAACCCATTTAAGAGCACAACTACGGCATCACATTTTGAGAATGTCACTCACACAACATCAGCAGTACTGCGAAGTGTTGAGAATGTTACAGCAGATCCTGCTGAATTTACATTCACGGTGCCTTGGGGGCAAATGCCTAAAGAAACCATGACAAAATTAAATAATGCCAAAGAAAAGAAAGAGAAGGCTAATCCTGCAGATGTAGAGGCGTTAAAGCTTGCTATTGCTAAGAAGCTTGTAAGTGCTTATCAAAGTCACAAGGAAGTGTATCCAGGCCAACAAAAACATCCTGGAAGGAAGATTTATGAATCAGTTACATCTCAGGTAAGAAATTGACACATATCTAACCAGTTTACTTTTATATTGTATTATTAAAAAATGTTAATTTGAGGTGTCCCATTTTTCCAAGGTTGAAACAAAATTTGGTAATTGTGTTAAAACAATAATTAAAGGTGTTGCTATTGGGAGTAATAGATCAAACTTCTTTCGGGCATTTGAGAGCTGCATAGAAAATCTAATGAAAGCAAGCAACACAGGCCTGAAAAAATCAAAAGTTATGAAGGGGAAGAACTTAGTAGGGGTGGATCCAGATGCATATGACCCAGTAATGACAAAAGATTCGAGAGAAGTACAGGAAGGCATTAAGGAACATCTGAAGAATTTAAGAGATCTAGGGACTGATGTAGATAACTGGCCAGAAATAGTAAATAATTTGAGGGAAACTTACGAATTGCAGAGAACAGACATTCTTCTCGCAACATCAGAAGTTCTTGGTGGTGGTGCTGGCAGAAGTAGTGAGGATGATGACGACCTGTTAAATGAGAAAGCATTTGAGAAACTAAAAAGAGAATGGCCTTTCCTGTTTGAAATGGTTGGCCTGGAGCTTCACCACAACACTCTAACAAAAAGAGAATTGGGTGTGAAGATAAAATCATTTGTTGAGGAACATTTGCGTTTCACACTATATTTTTTGACTTCATCCTCTAACTGTAATGTTGAGAATGTAATACAATGTTTACTTTTGAAGAAAAGACCGGATATCCTTGATCCAGAAAGAAAGTTTCTCTTAATGCTGAATATGCTTGCAAATCACTTCAGGGAGAATTTTTCTTCACTCTACATACCAGCTGAGGTAAGTCATGAAGTAAAATCAGCAAATAACTAACTTTCAAAATACATTGCTTATAAGAAAACAACATACATACAGGGCTATTTTATTTTACAGAAAACAAGTGATCCATCATCATTTCCATTTGGCATACTGGAGGAGAAAAAAGACCCCTGCATAGTAGCCCTAGGTAATTCTACTCTAAGTTATAAATAGACAAAAAACTTAAAATCCTTTTGAAACTAATTTTCGACTTTTACAGACAATGACATTTATGCTGCCCAGAAGTACTATGTATGTGCTGACCAAGTGGCTTTGATTGAGGCTGAAAACCCCAAAGACGCATTTGTGGCAATGATACAGATGTGCTTCGTGTTTGATTTGGAGTACCCACCTGAGCTACCTCTCACGATGGAGTTTATTGAGCGGTAAGATGCAAGTCATCAAAACTTTCCAAAGAGACACGACATTTCCATCCCAGAATGAAATAAGTAATTGATGTTTACAGGTACGTTCTTGACATGGGGATGGTGGACAGCAAAATTAAGAAGAAAGGACGGCAAATTGTTGTGTTATCTGAAAATGTAAAAAAACTTATTACTAAATATGAAGATTTCTTAGACGAGATGAAGAAACAAGGCTTAGATGATCACTAGAGTATACTTTTAAATCAAGCTTTAAAAGACATTCCAAATTGTAAACTTTTTGCTAACTCAACTTAATTAATCAACTTTAAAGATAAATGAAATAGATGAAGAAACAAAGCTTAGATAATCACTAGAGTATACTTTTAAATGAAGCTTTAAAAGGCATTCCAAATTGTAAACTTTTTGCTAACTCAACTTAATTAATCAACTTTAAAGATAAATGAAATCACTAGTGTGATAGAAATGAGATACAAATAAAGAGATTTTCATACCTGCTATTTCCTTTTCACACTTGCCCACCTCCAATGGCATCCTGTACATGTCCATCACCATCAGGATATTTCTTTCAAAAAAAAAAAGAAGTGAATTCAAAGATAGTCATAGGGGACAAATCTTTGAAACTTGATGCACAACCTGAAAAACAAACAGTTCTCTTTAGTTGATTTAAATGAGAAATAAAATAGATGAAAACAAAAGTGCAAAAGAACACTCTACCTGATTAAGTTCCACTTTTCACGTGTTCTTCTATCTGCTTCAATACGGACCCTGAAATTGAACTGAGAGCAGATTACAAGAGATTAGTAATAAATAAAAAAGAAAAAAACTAGCTTATACCCTTACTTGAGACAAATTCCATATCCTGCTTCAAGAATAATCAAATTATGGACTTCGATTGGGAAGCAAAATATGAGCCAGCAAAGGACTAACAAAATACTAAAGTTACTATTTAAAATATGACAGCTTCATGGATAAGAGAACAAAGCACACTAATCAATATTGGGTCATCCCATGTCTGCAGATTGTAATTTATATGCAGAATCAGTGTCATTTATTTTCTGTCTCTTTTAAATTTCAGCCTGATCATACAAGAAACAACAAAAAATATTTATGGAAGAGAATGCAATATTCAGAGAACTAAATAAAATTATTGGTACTTAATTCAAGCTAAAAAATGAGAAAGCTAAATCTGCCTCACGTTGTCAACCTGGCATCAATGTTTCTCTAAGAAAATAAGATGGAACATCAGGCTGCTTACTCCCTTCATTTCATTCTCTCTATACACTGAGCTAGCATCATTTGCTTTACGGATCGTTCTTCACCAACAAGAAAGATTAGAACTCCATAACAAAGGTCCCTCTGTAGACTTGGCACAAGGGATGAAGTATCTGGAAAAAAAAAGCAAAACCTATATTAATTAACATAAATACTAAGAGAAAGAGCAAAGGTAAAAAAAAATATGTATAGCCATATGTATCAGCGGCTCATAGGTTTTACTCCAGTCACATCAAATACAGTATAACATTCCACCACCGTTTAGGAAAATAGATTGCCAAATAGAATTGCAATAGATTGTCGTTGAGTTTGTTCCACTACAGATATAAGAGCAACTTGAATTGGTCTTACCTTGTTATTATTGTTGAAATTGCCTTTGAAGGAAGAAAGAAGAGTTGCACTTTGAGATTTGAGGAATACTTTGCTAGCTTCAGTCATCAAAGTCATATCAACAAAGCTTCCCAATCCAGTTTTGTAACAGAGAAGTAGTCCTCAGCAGATGTCATCACAGCAAGCGAATATCAGACGGTAACTGATGATGTACCAGCCAATAGCAGATCACGGTCCTAGGTAAAAAAACAAACAAAAACACACAAAAGTCAACATATAGAAGCAAAGTTTTATCAAGCAAGGCAACTTTGAGAGAAGATAAGAAAGAGAAATGATAACAGGCAATCATTTATAAAATGTTTTCATTCCTAAGCCAAACAAATTAGCTGTATTAAATTATCATTGAATGCAACATGGAGCTGTTTTAAAGAAAGTATTAAGATATACTAATGACATCTATTAACTTTTAGAAAGGCATTTCTAGATGTGTAAACAACAAGTAAAAACACAATCAAGAGCAATATTGGTGCTCAGATCTAGGGTAAATATAACCTATATCATCTGTAGAATCGTTGAATAGCCTAAGCATGTTTTGGGATGCGAAAAGCTACAAGACGAATAAAAATGAAGCAAAAAAGAGCCACGTAAGGAAAATTAAGGTCAAAAGGGCATTACTTGCCATCTTACGCATCGAGAAGGTAGGAACAACTTTCTGTAGCACTAACTAGTGTGGTCGCTTGAAAAAGTGCAAGCAGTACATTCTGACTCGTAGAATTCACACTCCACACTCTACTAATGATTCACACGCACGGGAAGGCATTTCTTCTCTGACGACTCAACAAGACGACTGAAATAGTGCTCGAAACTTCATGAGGAAAATGTTTCTCGACTCTTTTCCTGCCTTTTCCCAGGGACTCTCACAAAACATAAACAACATCTACCTCCCCTCTTCTCATACCCACCTGTAGAATTTCTCATACGACCTAGGAATCTTTCATAACCGCTCCACAGGCGCGCTAGGATTCGAATGTCGGCAGTCCACGCGAGTGTCGTTCCTTAACACTTAAAAATGGAAATTAAATAGAAGATACGCCAATATAAACTTACGATGCCCTCAGGGCGACTTAAAATTTAACGTAGAATCATATTCCGTCCTCGTTTTTTCAAAGTCACAACAGCTGACGACAGGACGACAGACGACAGGCGGACGCACTAAGAAGAACGAAAGAAGAAGAATCGTCACACTGCTTATTTGCAGTTTGACAGACAGTCGTCTGCAGCTCGTGGCGCAACTTTCTTTCCCAATGTTCAATGTTTGAGTCCAGGATGTGCAGTCAGTGGTTGTTTCCTTTGACAGTAGAAGCAGTGGGTATTGTCGTGGTTGTGTAAACACTCCTGGCTCACCTGGCAAACCTGGAGAAAAGCATGAAACTCAAGTTGCAAGAAAATAACAGACCTCACAGGGTGCTGCTGAAAAGAGAGGTTTGTCTACATTTCTTATTCTTCAAGGTGCTGACATTGAACTTGCTCAAAGGAAGGATTGTTCATTATGGTTAATATTTGCCAGGCTCCATTACTTATTGTAATGGTTTAACAAAAGTAGTCACCTGAACTAAGTGTACACCCATTTCACTTTACTCAATAGCCACCATCAATCGACTTCACTTGCCGGCAATGTCAGGTCAGGATAGAATCCTAGATCTAGGACTCTATTTCACGAGAAGTCAGGAGAAGTGACGTTAGCACTATTGTTCATTTAATCTCTCAACAAATGAAATTCTTGCACCAAACTTTTATTTTTGCATCGTTTTGAATTTTATTTTGCCCGTTCTTTCGTATAACGTTAAGATGGTTTTGATTTGAAACTGAAAAAAAAAACCTCTGAAAATACATTTAACGGGTAATGCTCACTAAATATTTACCAGACTACGGAAACAAACACAGTGTCGCTCCGTACACAGGAAATTTCTGTGCACAAGCAATCTGTGGATTAACATAACGGAATATCTCTGTAACGGAACAGTCTAAAGACTTCTGTGTACGGAACATTTCTGTCACAGAGGTGGTCCGTAGTGTATCTGTACCAATTTTTTTCTGTGCCAGATCTGTGGTTTACTACGGAATTTCTGACAGTGAAGGAACTTTTTCCACACAAGTGTTAAAAAAAATAATTAAATAGCCCCTTTTTTACTTTACAATAACCTTAACCACATACAAATGCCTACTGTAAGTTCATCATATTTCCTTACTACGGTTTCGGAATCGCTTCGCAGTCGACTTCGAGGCATAGCACAGGAGTGCGGCTGGTGCTGGAGCTGCGGGACGTCACTCGGAACCGGTAACGCCCGTACGGTATTACTGGGAAGTTGGGAAACGTCCAGCTCACCGATTCGTTCTTCACAACGTAAACGCCCTGAAAAGGTTAAATATTGAATCAGTAGTTCGAGTCAGCATGATAATGGATGATTTTGCAATCCGCTCTACAAATCAAAGAGTGTACATAGTATGCTCTAACTGGAGCATGCCTGCAAGCACGCTCTAGCTAGCGCATGCCTGCCAAGCATGCACTAACTAGAGCATACATGCCAAGTACACGCTTCCTGATGCAGAAAACTCCCTATCCCTTATGCGGTAAATGTATGCTTCAGTTAGCGTGTACATGGCATGTATGCACTAGTTAGTGCATGCCTGGCAGGCATGCGCTAGTTAGAGCGTGCTTGCAGGCATGCTCCAGTTAGAGCGTACCATGTACACTCTTTGATTTGTAGAGCGAGCGGTAGACTTCTTAACAGCTCGGACGATCCAGCTGAGAGCTTTTTTTATTAGGCAGGACTTAACTCAACATTTGACTAACACTGCTGTCATAACGTAACATAAGACAATGTTCGCTATAGGTTAAGGGTACGGACTCATGAAAGTACTTGCAAAAGTATACCCACACAAATTCGAGACACAAAAAATGATGCACTTATAAGGTAAGTTCCTGTTATTAGGTCGAAGACATGTCCTTCCTTGCTTAAATCAAATCTCAGCTTTTTAGACCTTAATTAGTTGGTTCAGAAGAATGCACCTGCCCGCACTGTTCAGCCTTCGACTGTCAGTCACATTGGAATGAAATTTTGTGCGGCCGTAACATTTGCCCAGAACACGGCACCACAAAACTGTGCAAAAAAAAGTCCAGGGCGTTTCATTACTTTGGCTACAAAATGAGTCATTTAGCCGGTCTTTTCAAGGGTACGGCTGAACTGACAGAGAAAATAACACGATTATTTTGTATGTCCCGAGTTTTGGCCATGTGTTATGGCCACGCGAAATTTCAACCAAATTGGAAGAACGGTATGGCGATACCAGGTAGAGAGACCAAATGAGCGGACACTGCTGTCGGCGGCTTTCGGCATGTGTTGGGAGCCGAAGCATTTTTCGGCTGCCGAAGATACCCGAACTCGTCACCGAACGCTCGTTGAAACCTCTGTTTCCGGATCGACACCCGCTTTTTTCGGAAGCAGTCCAATAGAGACCCCCGCCTCACCCCTCGCCCAGCAGCTGTCACAAACCATTCCGACAGGTGCTGCCCTCTGGTAGTCAAAGGTTCAATTTAGCGGCTGTCGTTCGGCTCCGAGCGACCCGTCGGCCGCTCTTCGGGGCCGCTCGGCGTCCGAGCCTGGCGAGCTTTGCTGCACGGTTTGCCGTGTCCGCCCGCCCGGCTCGGCACGAAACGGAGCCGAACGAGCCGAAGCTCGCACCTTCGTTTGCTTCCGGACAAACGGACAGCCGGTGATTCCGTGCGTAGGGGGTCATTTCAGGTCACCGGGGCCTTGCGCCTGAACTGAGGGTGATTTGATAGCTTGGGCAATTCAAATTTGTTTTACTAAAAGAAGACCATGTCCTCATGTGGATAAGTCGATCTAAGTTTTGTTTATCTGGGTTTCGTAAGCTGCTAAAGTGTCGTTTTGTAAGTTCCGTCATGGTCACCAACACCTATAAGACAACATTGCCATGCTGTAGTATATGACTCAGCCACATCAAAAGAAAACTGGCTATTTCACTCTCTCCCCTGACTTATCTTCACAAAATTACGGAGGGTGACCTTTGTATCATAACTTGTTGAACCCGAAACAGCCTTTGGGAAAATGTCCACCGTTTGACCATGTGACCTATGCTGTTTTTACAAATGACGGTCTACTGGGGTTCCTTTTCATTTTAGAAACTCGCGACCACTTGGATCGAAAGAACTTCAAAAACACTTCCAGAAGCTCGTGCCCACGGGACCTGGGGCGGTCAAACGACGGTTCCAGGCCGTCAGAAGAGTTCAAAACGGTAAGGGTGTAAAAATGGATGTAAATTCCGTTTCGGGCCGTAGCTCCTCCATCTGAGGGAGAAAGTTCCCACAACCTTCGCTGAAAAATGCTATTTTGGATGCTGAAAGTGACACCGTCAAAAGTTTTACCTATCTTGTAACCCAGCGGTTCAGGAGACTAAATACTTCGCTTTGTAAATTCCGTAATCTGTAAATTCCGTCATATTTCTGTAAATTCCGCCGTATTTCATAGGGAGTGAAAATAAAAGTCAACTTGTAGCGCTGCCACGCTCAGAGGGGTACTGTGGGTACTATGTATGCCATCTACACCAAATTTAGCCCCTAAGTTGAACTTTAAAAAAGAACATTTGTACATCCAAAATGACCCCCTACGCACGGAATCACCCAGCCAAGTCCGCTCGTTTGGTCTCTCTAATACTAGGGGTACGCGCCGTTTAGTCTGGGCGCGTAGTGTGGCTGAGCGATGCGAATTGACATGGTTTGTGCACTTTGGACTTTGCTTGAGAAGAAGAAATGTGCATCTTAAGGACTCATATTGAGTGAACTTTAGACCAGGGGTACAAATGGAAGTGATTTTCGTTATCAGAACACCAAAAACTGCTGGGATCAATGCCAAACTCGATTTAAAAATTTTGGTCCAAAATTGGTTAAAATTCGGTTAAATGTGAGTCTGGGAAAAGTTTGAAGGTCATTTTTGAGTTCAGCACACCAAAAACTGCAGGAAACAATATAAACTCGACTTGAAAATTTTGGTCCAAAATGACCTAATTTGGGATGAAAATATAAGTCTGGAGTCGAAATGAGAGTGATTTTCGTTATCAGCACACCAAAAACTGCTGGGATCAATGTCAAACTCGATTTAAAAATTTTGGTCCAAAATGGGTAAAATTCGGGTAAGTGTGAGTCTGGGAAAATTTGGAAGTCATTTTGAGTTCAGCAACACCAAAAACTGCAGAAAACAATATAAGACTCGACTTGAAAATTTTGGTCCAAAATGACCTCGTTTCGGATGAAAATATAAGTCTGATTGTCAAAATGGAAGTGATTTTTGCTATCAGCACTCAAAAAACTGCAAGAATCAATGTGGAATTCAATTTAAAAAAATTGACCCAAAATCGGTTAAATTTTGGGTCTGGAGACTATTTAGAAGTCAATAATGAAGTCAGCGCACTGAAAACTGCAGGGAAACGCATGACTCTCAAATTAGAAAGTTTCGCCCCAAATTGCGTAGCTCTAGGTGAAGTGTAGGTTTGGCATTGAAATAAATGTAGCTTTTGTGACCAGTACACTGAAATCTACAAACAACTATCTAGACTCAATTTCTGTACATTCCTACACTGTCTTCATGAAGCACCCACTGTCATCACCAATTCCCTGATGCCACACCAATGTGAATCCCTCAGTCGAGTAACATTCAATTGCCAGCATTGAATCGCTTAATTGGTTACTCGTATGATTGGGTCACTATTCGATATCTCTTTTTTCTTAACTAATGAATTCTCAATTTTATAAGTAATATCTATGAAACATTTTGTCATTCTTTCATTGTGAACCAGTGAATAAAACAATATTGATTGGCATGGCATACGTTATCACAGTTAATATTAAGAGAGTCAGTTTAGGGTAGGTTGATCTGAACCTGTTAACGGGGACCAATTATTGTCAAATCCAGTGATTCGTCTCATAGAGTCCAATGCCAAGGCTACCCAAGGCTTAATGAACCGACACAATTTATCTTACTCAGGTATGCAATACTGAGTAGTACCAGTTATATTGACTTCAGTGAAGTGAAAGGAATCGTCTCATTAAATCCATTCACTAATTCACTCACCGCTCAAAACCTGAGTCGTCTCTTTGAACCCAATATCAATTCAAACTCTATTAGGATTAAATATACACAACCATACATTGATTCTATTAATAAACACATGTTAGTACTTTGGCACTCTTGTCAGCCTGCAGCATTGCAATAGAATGTATTTCTCGAGTCCAAACTAAGTATGCCTGCTAATGTCAACACAAGTTATTTATGCATTTCCCTGATTTCCTCTACTATGAAAATTTAAAAAAGAGGATGACACTATAGAAAATGAAACAAGTAGATGCCCACAATACAAAAAGGTCAAAATAAAAACATTCTTTTTACACTGCTCTGTCAAAGTGCACTGATCTGAAGAAGATTCCCCTCGAAAGGGGGAGGGGGGAGAGGGGAACGAAACACGTAAATCATTTTCACTGCCATTCTCCATATTTCGCTGTGTTGATACTCTAAAAGGGTTTTAATCATTCTAGAATGTGGAAAAACTATGGCCGATCTCATTTCCAAACCCTTCTGCTCGTTATTTTGTTTTATTTGCTTATTTGCTTCTGTCCCGTATTTGAGAGCCGCGGCCGCAGGTATGAGAAATTCGTGAGTGCTGAGTGCTGCCAACCTAACCATGCTAATAACCTGATTCAAAAGTATGTTTTGAATATTTCAAACGATACTAAACAACGATTTGAAACAAACTCGTGTTGAGGGGGTACTAAGGCGACGTTAAATACGAAATCTTGAAACTATAGCCACTGTAGTTGCTGAGAATCGTTGGTGAGTACAAACAGACTCACAGACAGACAGACAGACAGACAGACGCACGACCAGTCACTTTTCAGCGCGCCCAAACACGGCAAGGGCTTCGCTATCGCTCAGCCAAACCAGGTGGATGCAACGGACAAGGTAACGCGTGAAACCATGCGTCCGCCGCAATTGCGAAGGTACCGGACATCATCGTGATATAAGAACAGGCCGTTGATAGTACAGCATTGAGCGCCGATAGAAAAAGCATGAAATTTCAGTTCCCTTAAACTCATTAGGCTTCCCGAATCTCACACAAAATCTATGTGTGTACACAGTACAGTTGGTTCAACCGAGGATTTTCTTCAATAGTTTGGTGTACTTTTCAGTTCGTTTCATGGTGTGGGCTATGGTGTTACTTGCGGTAGGGGAAACTAGATAAAGGTATGTCCGGTCGCCGGCGTATCTTAGGACTAGCTGGCTAATGTTAAGAATAGCCACGGCACCCCGGCTAAGGTCCGGCAAGGGGTGTCATGTCTTA